TGCTCAGGAGCCGGCTATTTGGTTAAAGACAACAGAAGTTAAATTTGAGTAAGATCAGGCTTCATATTTGTGTTGTTCTTCCTCACACTTCCCAAAATTAAAGAGAATTTAAATAAGGATTAAAGGTAGAATATTTAGCAGCTTCAAAACCTTCACGCTCCTTTTCTCGGTAGTCCCATCTCGGGGTTCTGTGGACAGAAAGGAAGGGCGCGGTGGGCAGGCGGGGCGGGTGCTGGCAGGTGGCGTGCGCCACCGTGACTGCGCTAAGGCACTGTGTCTGCACCTTGTTAGTGCTCTGCACGACTTCCCTGTCAGACAGTGCTGGGGGCATTTTGTGGGCGAGAGATGGGCAAAGGGTCCCTGGAGGCGGGTCTCCCCCTTGGCTTCCAGAACTTCTGCACCCCCCAGACTCAATTCCAGACTCCATTCCAGGAAGCTGCCCTTCTTTCTCTGCACCCGAGCTTGCTGGTTGGTCCCCCTCATAGATGGGCACATTTGATCTTCACGGGTTCCCCGGAGCACCCAGCAGAAGAATATACTGCACATATTTGCTTCACTAAACCCAGAACCAGAAAGTAGCTGGGGGAACCCAAATGCCCCAGGAAGGCCGGGTCTCAAGCCTGGGGAGCAGCAGGACTGTGGCTGCCCAGCTCCGGCAGGGGTTGGACCTCTCTCCAGGGGAGCTGGACCTCTGATTTTCAAGTTAGAAATCCACATTCCTGGAAGGTGAGATCTTGTTTTTGGGCACTGGTGATGTTCCCTTGTTTGGAAATGGGGTCGTTCCAGATGTAATGAGTTCAGATGAGGTCGTGTTGGACCTCGAGGCTGGGCTCCTATTCCAGTAAGACTGGTGTCTTTCTAAAAAGACACAGAAGGAAGATGACCACGTGACCAAGGCAGACACCAGGAAGGAGGCAGCCGCGTGGCAAGGAGGGCCCAGCTTGCCAGTCACCACCACAATCTCGGGGAGGACCCAGGAGCTGATCCCCCTGCCAGACCCCATGAAGGACCCCAGGAAGGACCCCAGGAAGAGACTTTGGGCCTCCAGAGCTATGAGAGAATAATTTCTGTTGTGTTCAGTCACCCAGTTTGTGGTGATTGGTTACAGCAGCCCCTAAGACAACACTTAATTTGGAACGCCCTCGGGTACAAGCAGTAAGAATCTGTCATAGTCACCCACCCACACAGCTGCTACTTCTCCAGTGTCACTCCAGGCCACAGGAGGCAGAAGGCAGAAGGGCTGTGGCTCCCTTTTTGTATCCATCAAGGCCAGTCTCCTGAAGCCCTCAGTGAAATATGTTTGACTAGAACTGAACTAGCTGCAAAGGGCCTGGGAGACGGCCCCTGACTCACCGCTATGTGGATGACCCCAAGCATTCGGGGTGGACCTGAGAAACTCATTTTCTCAACCTTTACCCGCCTCACTCATCAAATATTTGTCTGAGACATTATCGATAAAACTGGTTCGAGCCAGGACCCGTGTGGGCGGGAGCCATGGAGCTGCTGTCTTCCTTCCTCACAGAGCATGAGAGCTCTCTCTTGTCCTTCACTTTCCCACTCCCTGCTGAGGCCTCCACCAGTTTCCAGAGGTGCTTTGGGCTGTGGGTGCAGGAACTCTGAACCAGTGATGGCTGGAGGGCTTCCTACTCCACAGCCTCTCACTGGCCTCTCTGCCCCCAGCCTCATCTCCTCATTCATGTCTCACACCAGCGCTGAGTGGGCCCCAAAGGACAAATCCAGCCATATGTCCCCCCAGCTGAAGACCCTGCAGACCCTTGCTCTTGCCCAGAAGCACCACCTGTGATCTTTGGACCCATCGGCTCCTCCGTGAGGCCGCCATGGAGCTCTGACACACAGTCTACAGGCTGTTCCTGGTCTCTCTTCTTCTGGACTCCAAGCCCATCCCAAAGTGCCAGGTCTCTGTGCCTCTCTGTTCCTGTCCTTCCTGTCCTCCAGCCTCTCTCCCTTTCCACAAGCCACTCTGCTCTCCAGGCGCTGGTCCTGGGCCAGTGGGCCCCACCTTCCTCCATGCCTCTCTGATTCCCCCTCCTCAGTCACCTCCCTTTGCTGCCCCATCTGCTGGGGACCTCCATGGCTTGATGGGCATCCCCCAGCCCAGGGCAGGACTGGGTCTCTGCTCACTGGACTCTGGGCGCACCAGGGGTCATACACCAGGGGCCTCAGTTTGTGTCCACTGAGCATAGATGTCTGCCTCATCTGACTCAGACACAAAGGACAGAAGAGGGTCACTTCCTCAAGCCCTTGCCACTATAGGTCACCCTCAGAACAGGCCAGGAAGGCCAGATCTCATCCTTCTCACCTCACACCTTACGGTTTCCTCAAACCTCCCTGATCTTCCCAGGGCCGGATTTGCTGGAGACATTTCCAGCCTGCCCATCCCTGATGCTGGGTGGTCTCAGCAGTAGGGTGACATGGCATCTTGGCCCTTGGCAGGGGCTGCAGCTCCACCCCTTCCTCATTCCTGGCCACGCCTTTGTCCATCAGGCAGGGCCCCCTTTGACTCAGGTTCTGTCAATATGTAGGAAGCTGCCCTTCAAGTTCTTCGTCTGCTCTCTGAACATGGGAGAGCCCTGCATCCCGGTGGGCAGAGGGTGCCCAGAGCTCTGGGGATTGGCTGGCAACCCTGCCAACACACACAGGTGCTGTTTCATCACCTCCTGACCACAGTCCCTCTGCCCTGTGTGGAACTCCAGCTAGCAAGTGGCTATGGGGCAGCTCAAATGGGGCATTCCTCCTGAGGGCCAGAGGCTCTCCCGACTCAGCCTTGATCCAGCCTCCATCCCACGCCCAGCAGGAGCCCTCTGCCCCAGCTGTCTGTGCTGCAGGCGCCAAGAAAACCACCCACCTGCCCCAGTGCTGCAGCCCCTGGTCTGCTTCATGCTCCCTGGGACCCCATAGCATCTGGCTGCTGCCTGGGAGGCCCTGGCCAGTGAGTCCAGGTGCCCAGGGCTGGAGGGAGGGAAGAGAAAGGACCTCAGCCAGGTCAGGGGCGGAGAGAAGGCAATATGCATAATGTAATTCACAATCTCTTTAGGAAAAACCTAGCTCGCAGATCATCGAGAAACACAGATTTGTGAAGGCCTGAATAGAAAAGAACCCATGGGCACAACGGGCGGCTGTACTTCTCTCCAGGCCTCCTTTTCTGTTGCCTTCACTTTATCATGATCTGACACCTTTTCAAAATCCCTCCAAAGATCTGTACCATGAGAAGCCCTTGAATAGGCTACTGTGCCTTTTTTTTTTTTTTTTTGTACCGGGATTGAAACCAGGGGTGTTTAACCATTGAGCTACACCCCAGCCTGTTGTAGTATTTTATTTAGATATAGGGTCTCACTAAGTTTCTGAGGCTGAGCTCATGATCCTCCTGCCTCAGCCTCCTGAGCCTCTGGCATTACAGGCATGCACCATCACGCCCCACACACTGTGCCTTTTGCAATACGCATGAAATCAAAAATCTTTGGAAAAGAACATGTGTTCATAATTAAATTTTATGAGAAGCAGACCTTTTTTTTAGCAAAGACAAAAGAAACACAGATTTGTGAAGGCCTGAAGTGGCTCCCCTGTGCCAGGGCCTCGGCCAGCCGGGCACCCCCCAACCCAGTCCTCAGGACCTCAAAGTCAAGTCACTGACCAGCTTAAAAATGTCAGGATGATTTTTCTTTGGCAGGCTCTCTGCCAGAGGGCCATGAGAACGCTGGCTTGGAATACAGCGCCCTGTCCTAAGGAGGGGCTCCAAGGAGCAGCCCTGCACTGGAGGGGGCTTGTCCTTGAGGTCACAGGTGAGTGACTCAAGCCAGGGCAGCCCAGGTAGTCCTGATAACATAAAAACTTGAATGGCTGCAGATGGTCAAAAGAGCAAAAATCCCTGAGCCTTACAGTGTTTCTGGGGTGGGGGAGCTGCCCCCACAGCCATCGTGTCTGGGACTAAATCGCCAGAGGGATCAACTTCCGGAATCTAGCAGGGTTTGAGAAATACTAGACCGACCAGTTTGTCTCCTGACCTGGACATTCCAGTGGCCTTACCCAGCTTGTGACCAGCAGCTGGGCTCAGAGGCCTGCTGTGTCCCCCTGAGAGCCAGAATCCTCCCTGTTGGGAAGCCAGATCCTGCTGTGCGCGGCTGCTGATCTTCTGGGGTCTCTGATTTGCAGGTCGCTCTGCTCCCAGTGAAACTGCCTCCACATTAGTTTCAGGCCACTTCACAGATCTGGGTTTGCAGCCTCGAAAGCTCCAGGACCAGCTGCCTCCTAATGACCCTTTCTCCTTCCTTGGAGGTGACAGCCTGAGCTCTCCCCAGACATGCTGCTAAGGTGCTGGTGGGGACTTGGCAGGGATGGTGGCCTGTTCCCTGAAATCATGTCCTAAGAGAGACCAGCCCAGCTCAGGGGTTAGTGCAAGAGACTTTCCCTGCTCCTCACACAGTCACCATGTGCTGAGCCTCCCTTGTGGATGCAGCCCTAGGTCCAAAATCAGCTGTTAGAAGCCCCAGCTGCTCCCACTTCCAGCCACACCCTGTGTGCTGTGTCTCAGCAACTTCCCAGCACCTGGCGCAGGAGTGTCCCCATGTCCCCGTCTACAGGGTGGGGGCTGATTGGAAGAGGGAAACTGGAGCAGGACTTGAACCTAGACCCCCATCTTGTAATCCCTGCAGGCTGCTCCCTCAACATCCTGTGGAAAAGCCTCCCAGCAGCCCCACTGTGGCAGGAACGGACCACAGAGGGACTGGGGAGCAGCTCCCCTGAGTTCTGAAAAGGGGGTGATGCTCACCCACACCCAGTGCTCACCCACTACTCAACAAAGCCAGGCCTCATGTGGCCCAGAGACCCCTCCTGTCCCCCAGGGAGGGGGAAAGGGGACGACCCTGCTGGGTGCAGAAAGGGTCTCAGCCACGCACTTCACTGGACTGGGTGACGAAACGGGAAGGGCAGGACTTGCCGACTGTCCCACCCTCTGTGTCAATAGGAGGCCAGCCCTTAAAGCACCATGAGGCCTCCAGGGGACATTTCCCCAGCAGACCAGTCTCAGAAGGAAGGAAGGTCCCAGCCAGCACCATGACAGAGCTGGAGACAGCCATGGGCCTCATCATCGACGTCTTCGCCCGGTACTCAGGCGGCGAGGGCAGCCGGCAGACCCTGACCAAGGCGGAGCTGAAGCAGCTCATGGAGAAGGAGCTCCCCGGCTTCCTGCAGGTGCGGCCAGGTCCAAGGGTGGCACAGGGAAAGGTGGTGGGCAGGTCCAAACAGACCCAGATGCAGGCAAGAATGACCCGAAGCCCCTGCCGGGGACATTGGGCATCTGGGCGGGGAGTGGGTGCCCAGGCGGATCCTTGAGACGTGGAGCTGAGTCCCTACAGTGTTGTGATCAGGATTCTTTCCCTGTGGGGTCTGCGGGGAGGGTGGCACTCCTGGGCAGGGGAGGGGGCGAGCATGGAAGGCAGGGCAGTTCCTGAGGTTGTTTGCGGGCCCCTCAGCTCTCCCTCTCCAAGGCTGCTGGCCACAGACATCCCTGCTCCTCCTCCTCTTGCCCACCAGCCTTCCTCCTGTGCCCAGGTCCCTTGTTACCTGGTAGGACCCACAGGAGTAAGACAGAAAACCCATCCTGGATCCTCTGGGCTCTCTGCAGCAGGCAGGAGCCATGGGGCCTGGAGCTCCCAGGAAGCCCCCAGGGCCCCGGGACCAGCGCCTGGGCAGCTTCTGGTGGGTCTAAACAGGGCCCCTCTCCCGCTCCCTGCGCCCACCACTCTGCTGTTCTGCTCTCTGAAGGGTCTTCACTGCTACAGGGGGTTGAAAGGGAAAGCTAAACTGTCCAGTCCAAAGCATGACTGGACACACCAAGCTCCTGGTACCCAGGTCTCTACTTTCTAGATGTGAGTGAAATGGATATATATATATATATATATATTTTAGTTGTGAGTGGACACAATGCTTTTAGTTTACTCATTTTTATGTGGTGCTGAGTGCCTCCCATGTGCCAGGCGAGCCCTCCACCACTGAGCTACAGCCCCAGCCCAAGTCAAATGTATTTAGCTTCACCTGTCTTCCTCTACTATAACACGTGTTTGAGGCAGAAATGAATACAGAAGGAGCGTGGAGCCCCCTCTCCTGTCTACCCCACAAACACTGCTGTGAGCGGATCCTGATCCTGTGCAGCTTCCTGTCTTCTTGGACTGAACATGACCATGTAAATCCTCAGACTCTGATGGTCACTAAAAGTGTCCACCCCCCGCCCCATGCTAGGAACTTATGTGTGGCATGTAGGTTGTTTTATCATCAGAGTTTGAGATTTTAGTTTGTGGGGCTTTTGACCTCACAGGGTAGGGAGGGGCAGGTGCCCAGGGAACACACTTTGAGAACTAGTGCCCAAGCCGGGGATTCTCCATCTGGGTTAGGTCACAACCAGGGAGGGAACTTGGAAAAGCAGGGCCCTGGCCCTTGGACAAGCCTGGCTCTGTGCCTTGCCAGCCCTCCCTCCAAATGGTCCTGGAGGTGAGAAAGTTGGAGAACAATGTCCATCTGAGGGCAGGGACGGTGCTGGCCTTGTGGTCCTCTTTCTTGGATACCAGCCCAGGGCCTGGCTGAGTCAGAGCTTCTCATGCAAGAATTAGAGTGAGTACTAGGTGACTGTTGGCTACAAACTTGGTAAATGTCCCTAGGAATGGCTGCAAGCTATGCCAGAGTGGACATGTGGGCGCTCCTTTGCCATCTAATCCCCTGACTTTTGCTGTGTTGTCCCGACCACCTCCAGGCACAGCTGTGCAGCAGCCAGAGGACATAGGTGTTGCTTTCTTGGACACACAGAGTTCTGGTTCCTGGCTGGCTTGAGCGCCCCCTGCTGCTGCTGTGCAGACCTGCACCTGGTGGAGCTTGGTCCCTTGGGGAGGAACCACCTCTGCCCTGTCACATGAGTCAAGGCAGCTTGGCCCTCACAATGACCTGGGGCCATGGGTCGTGAGCCACAAATGCTCAGGACCAGCAGACAAGAGCAGGGCTTCCGTGCTCCCTCCACACCTGGGTCTCAGACCTTCTCTGTGTGACACCGGGCAAGTCCCAGGGGCCCTCTGGGCCTCACCATCTTCATCTGTGGCTCCAGTGGCACTTGTTCCTGCCCGGGCTTGTGAGAACTGAGGGTCTGTGTGAAGCATGCTCAGTGCTGGCATGAGGCGACCGAGCACCGAGGGAACTCATTTCCTGGGGGTGATCGCCATTTAAAACCTACTGTAAATCCAGTCGGTCCCCTTGAAGAACTTACAATACAGCATCCTCCCAGGGGGGACAATGCAATCCCCGCTTGACCTAAAACATGACAGGTCAGCTCGTCCGTCATACAGCCCAGGGCAGCTCACGACCCTCAGAGCCTGTGTGTCCTTTCCAGGGACCCAGCGTCTGTTCCACACAGCTGGGCCTGGCACTGAGCCTTGTGACAGCATGTGTGCCACACATGCAGGTGGCCCCCATCCCCGTGGCCCTGCTCAGCACCTGCATCACTGACTCTGGGCCTCTCTCCTCTAGAGCGGAAGGGACAAGGATGCTGTGGGCAGACTGCTCAAGGACCTCGATGCCAACGGAGATGCCGAGGTGGACTTCAGTGAGTTCATCGTGTTTGTAGCCGCACTCACGTCTGCCTGTCACAAGTACTTTGCACAGACAGCATCCAAGTGATGCCCTGCACCAGCAGGACCTGGGAGGAGTCCCTGGCTCCCAGCCCCTGTTGGCAATTAGCTCCTTGGGCTGAGCCAAAGTCCCCTAATTAATAAATGCTGGTGAATGATCCTGCTCTCAAAGTGGTGATCTCCTTTAGACCCCAGACTCCTCCCCCACAAACACTGATTCCCACTGGTATCAGCCTGACGTACCAACAGCCATCTGGTTGTAACCTGGCACACACCCCAACCCTGAGGCATAAACAGAGTTGTTCAGATGGTCGGTTGAGCACAGTGTGCTGGCCGCTGACGCTGAGTTTTTTTAGCCGACACAGGACATGTGCATAGTTTCTGAGAAAGGCCAGGCAGCTAGACCATGGCCACCTCTGTTCCTCTTACACTTAAACCCTTTCTCCACCTCATGGTGTGGAGTCTCCATCCTGCGGCCACCCAAGACACACTTCTGTCCATAAGTCCCCAATAAATTGTCCCATGTGATCCTGGATCTGTCTGGCTTTTCTGCCTTTTGGCTCCATCCCACTTTGGCAGCCAGTTCTCAAACTGGACCAGGATTTTCTGGAACATTCACTATGTAATGCAACATTTAATGTCTCACTGCCAGCCTGGTAGACGGACAGAGATGAAAAGCACAGGTCCGTTGGTAACAGTCCGTTCCCGGTCCACTCCCTGGGGTGCACTCTGAACCAGCCCATGGCCGAGGCCCAGTGCCCACCCTAGAGAATCTGTGGGCACAGCGAGGGCCACCCTGTAGTGAGCGTGCATCCATCCAGCCAGCCACCTGTTAAGTCATGCCATTCCTCAGCCTTTCCTGGGGTGCTCAGTGAGCCAGGCCCCCCGTCACTCCAAACACCAAGTTTTCAAGTAGCACAATTTTCTTGATTGTTTTGAGGTAATGGGAATTAAACCCAGGGGTGCTCGTCCACTGAGCTACTCTTCTAGACCTTTATATTTTTTATTTTGAGACCGTGTCTCCCTAAGTTGCCCAGGCCAGTCCTGAACTTAGCATCCTCCTGCCTCAAACTGCTGGGCTCTGGGTTGCAGGCTGCACCGCTGTGCCTGGCCAAGGAACACCTTTAATGGTATCAGAGTATTTTTGCTATGAAGAGCATAAACCCAGTGACAGAAAAGAAATGAATACAAGTATGGATAAGAGTCACTGTGAGTAACTGCTCCCGTCACCCGAGCTCATGGCTTTGTGCCACCGTCTTCAGGAGAGGACCAAAGTGACTCAGGGCAGGTCACAGGTGTGAGGTTGTTATCGGGTTTGTTTCTAGGATTCAACCCAGTCCTGAAGCCCTTCCTGTGTGTGAGGGGTCTTCCTGCCGTTGGGCAAGGGCTTCTCTACCAGTTGCTCTTGCTGCTGCTGTGGTTTCTTCAGACTGTGACACAAGGTGAATCCTCGGAGCACATTTAATTAACACATGTGCTCAGGCTTATGTGAATCACGGTTTCCCATGTTACTCAGTGGGTTGTAATCTGCCATGATCACTATAGTGACTGTCAAATTGTCCCTGACATGACTGGTGGAGCCTACTTAGGCTGGCTTCTGTCCTTCCAACATGTCCCCAACATTCTCTGTAGGCCCTTGCTTGCTGTCACATCAAGATGTCTGGATATATCTTGATCTTTCCTTGCCTGTCTCTGAAGTTGGCCATTCCTCCACGCAGCCCTGGCTCCTTTTAGTGCTACCTAGAAACTAGGACCTGAGAGGGAGGTGAGTGTGTTACTGCTGGGGTGTCCCTGCTCCCAGCCCTCCCAACGGACAGACCCAGGGAATATTTGCAGGTGTGCCTGGAAGTTCATACAGATGCATACCCACCATCTGCATCTATCCTGTGTACATCTGATACCGTAGATGCGGACCTTACCTTCAACGCCACAGGGCACCCTAGTGTCCCTTCGCCCTGCTCAGTCCGAGCCCCACATTGCTCCCTGCAAAGACACCCTCCTCGCCTCTCAGGAGAGTCACCCCAAAGGCTGGCCTCCTCCCTGCTTAGGCTGCCCTGAGTCGTCCCCTGTGGATCGTCTCCCCACCTCACTTGGGCTGACTGCCTGGAATACTCCCGGGGACTCCTTCCCCACTCAGCAGGCGCTGACTCCTGTCCCCTGCCCTGCCCTTCCCTTCACGAGTCCTCCTCACGCTGGACTGTGCACACTGGGGACACCCTCCCCAGCCTGCTCAGAGGGCTGACCCTGCGGGCCTTGGGCTGGGCACCAGAACACCGACATCACTGTGAGGATGTTGCACAGCCCAGCCTCGCTATCCATGAATCTGTTTGTAAGTTCACCTACCTCTTATAGTTTATTGTAACCCAAGTGGGTGCTCATGGTGAACCCCTGGTCACTTGCAGACATGTGCAAGCAGCAGAGCTGCGTCCTGTGACACACACACTCCCTGCTGAGGCCCAATAGCCTGCTCTGCCTTCCCGCCCAACTCCTGTGCTGTGAGCGCACCTGGGCCAGGGTCTACTCAGGGCCTTGGTTTGGGTTTTGGTCTTTGCCTCTTTGTGCTTTTGTGCATTTTTGTTTAAAATGTCTCCTGGCTCTGCCGCTGCTCAGGCGCTGGCTGCTGTTCCTAAGCACAGGAGGCTACGACCCACCTTATGGAGAAAGCATGGCAGATGAGCTCCGCAGAGGAGGCAAGAGCGGATGTGCTGTGAGCCTCGAGTGCAGTACTAACTCAGTAGCACCTGGTAAACAAGGTGCCTTTAAACAGAAACACGCACAAGGCACGGATACAGAATGGCCAGTCATAGGTGCGAGGCTGGAGGCTGGTAGCGCCCACTCCTGCTTCTCCAGGGACAATGACTTGGCATTTGCTAACGCAGCGTTCATGGTGACTTGTAATAACTAGTACAGATGATGAGAACCAACTACACACATTTCCTCAATTGCAACCACCTAGCAAAATGCAAGCCTCAAATGTATGCTGGACCCACTTTCTCTGCACCTTCGCCCAAGAAGCTGAGTAGCCCCAGGGTTACAGAGAGACAGCCCAGGCAGGGTTGAGACAGGTGGCGTGGCTGTAGCAGGTGTTGGAGGGAGTTCACAGGAGGTGGAGGAGGGTGAGTGAGCAGAGAGGAAGGCAGGACAGGCAGAGGATGGACGCTGAGAGGACCACAGAGGAGGCCAATTTCAGGCAGTGACAGGAAAACCAGGACACAGCTCTGGGAGGGGCAGAAGTGCTTGAGGACACGTGGAGTCCACGTGCTGAGTGACTGAGTGAGCATCCTCAGCCCCCGTGGCCTGTCCTCAGTGCCATGCCTCTCCGGCACTAGGAGGAAGTTCCAGAAAGCAAACCGTGTGGACTGCCTGTGCTCCGTCTCTCAGTACAGACCAGTGCTTGGTATACAGTAGGAGCTAAGTATTGGTAAAGAAAACATCTAAGACAAAAGAAATTTTTAAGTGTTGCAAGGCCAGGTACAGTGGCACATGCCCGTACCCAGCAACTCTGCACACTGAGGCAGGAGGAGCACAAGTCTGAGGCCACTTGGGTAACTTAACTACAGTAACTTAGCAAGAGACCCTGTCTCAAAATAAAAAATAAAAAGGGCTGGGGTATAGCTCAGTGATAGAGTGCCCCTGGGTTCAGTCCCCAGGACTGCAAAAAATTTGTTTCAAGCAGAGAAGGGCTGCACAGTTCTCTAGCTCATCTGTCAAGGACAGGACTGAAGTAAAATGAGAGCTGAGAGGCCAGTTTGGAGACTGTCACTAACAGCTGTGGCTTGGAATAGCTGGAGGGAGGCAAATGAGTCAGGGTGGAATCAACATGCTTTGGTGATGGCCGGGCAGGGGAGGGGAGTGCCGAGGAGGAGGGCAGTGTAGGGAGTAACACTGAAGCTTCCTCCAGAGCAACTGGGGAAATCCAAGCTCCTAGCTGACTGCTGCTTACAGACCACTGACATAATCGGCTACAGGGGATTATAAGTAGGAAACACAAGTGATGTGTCTCTAGGCTACATAATTACTGGCCTGTCACTGCAATACTCCTAAGAGCCGAGGGTCAAAATGATATGAGACTATTTTAGTACCCTGGAGTACTAAAAAGCAAAACACAACCCTAAGACATCCCTATGGTTGATTAATCAAGGGGGAACTATGCACACTCATAAGTGTACACAGCACACACATACTATGGACTCACACATGCATTCATGTTTATATATTCAGTTTTACTTTTTAGCCCCCAAAGCATGTTTCTTGTTTTGGTGCTGGGAATCAAAGCAGGGCCTAAAACAGGTCAAGCACATGCTTTCCCACTGAGCCACTGCTTCCAGAGAGCATATTTTTACATCAGTGAACAGTGAACCAAGGTCCATGACACCCCCGAGAAGCTCCCTCAGCCAGGTCCTGCAGTAAGAGGACCCAGGGCCTCTGACTGTGATGTGCAACCGTGTGAGGTCACCTTGGTGGTTGTAAGCCATTAAGACTGGGGTGAACTGGTACAGGGCTTTGGTGGATGCACACCAAGTCTTGGCCCCACAAAGACTGAGCTGGTCTTTTCTGCACCGACCTGTTGGGCACTGAATTGCCCCTGCACCTCTGCACCAGCCCCATTCCTCTGCCTTCGCCTGGTCACCCCACAAGCTCATGTAGTCACCACTACTTTGCTCATCAGTCTCATGGTTCCCAACAGTCCTCACTGCCAGTGAAGAGTGGGGAAGGTGGCCAAAGCCAGGCACAGCCTCACCAAGTGTGATTTTACTCCATGCTTGGGCACTTGATTTTACATTTTTTTTTTGCCACATCCACTTGTAACTTATTAAATTACACTACTATTCCTAGGTGGGGCTGTCATTATTGCAGTACTGGGGGTGGAACTCAGGACCTTGAACTTGCTAGGCCAAGTGCTTGACCTCTGAGCTATATCCTCAGCCTGGATACTTGATTTTAAAAACACCTACCTTACACCTTAACTCAAATCATATATCTAAGCTTGTTATTATTTTACATTTGTTTTTATGAAATTGCGATTGGCAGCTCTGGAAACTGCAGAATGCCTGTTTGCAGGTCTGAATGTGCCCACACTACAGGGTAAAGAGCCCTCAAGAGCATAGGCTCAGCAGGTCACCACCTTTGTGGCGCAGGCCTCTTAGGCCCACTAGCCCCTCGCCCCGCCT